AATGCGGATATTTCAGGCCAAGGTTTAAGGTTTGGGTGAACTTTGTAGCCAAAATCAGGGTGAGAATTTTGGCCAGAGCCACTCCAGGGTTGGGACACGGGGTCAGGGATTTGGGTTTTGGGATAGAGTGGGGACACAGAGATGAGATCAGGGTCAATATCACCAACACCAAACCCAGTAAGAGAACCCGAACTCCCAGCAGCATGTTTCGCACAGAAATAGGATCTGGAATCCTCGTCCTTGAGGTTGTTCATGGTCAGCGTCACCGAGCTCTGCCCGTTGTCCCTGGAGATCCTGAACCGGCCCTTGACCGATGGCGCGTAGAAGGTGCTGGATCCACCCTTGTTGACCACTCCAACCCATTCCAGCCCCTTCCCGGGTCTCTGGCGGACCCAGCTCGTGTCGACATTTCCAAAACTGAACCCGGACCCTCGGCAGAGGAGGCGCAGGGATCCCCCGGGGGGCTGGAGGTCCGCCCCGCACTCCAGCTGGGTCATGGCCGCCCGGAGCCCTGCGGGACACAGGGGAGATTGGGATGAGGCCAAAGCTCAACCCTTGACCCAAATCCTGAACCTTGGCCCCAAACTGGGACCCTTGGAGTTCATCATCCTCCTCCCAGGTGGGTCCCGCCCCTTTTTCTAGCTGGCCTTGCCCACTTTGAGTCCCTCGACCAATCAGGTTTTTCATGCCCATCTCCCCTTTGTCCTGCAGGGCTCCGGACGGCCATGACCCTGCTGGAGTGTGGGGGGGACCTCCAGCCCCTTGGGGAGTCCCTGCGCCTCCTCTGCCGAGGGTCCGGGTTCAGTTTCGGCAGTTTTGCGATTGGCTGGTATCAACAGAGACCTGGGTAGCGGCTGGAGTACATTGCACAGATCAGCAATGGTGGTTACACCGAGTACACGCCATCGGTCAAGGGCCGGTTCACGATCTCCAGGGACAACGGGCAGAGCTCGGTGACGCTGGCCATGAACAACCTCAAGGACGAGGATTCCGGTGTCTATTTCTGTGGGAAAGCTTCATGCTCTGGTTGTGATCCTCATGCTAGTTATGTTGATGATGCCCGTTATGGCCTCCAGCTCCGGGTTCTGACACCACTCCTATCATTCAGTCCCCAAAGCTCTTATTTTCATCCCAAACCTCACCCATTAACTCAGCCCTTGACCCTTTGTCCAAAATTTTCCCCATTTGCACCAAGGTCCAGAACTGACACCGAACCCTGCCCTGCTCCTGCCCCAAAACTCAACCATTGGCCCCAAACCTTCACCCCTGGCCTCCAGTTCAGGCCTCCTCCAATCAGGGACCGGGAGCTGGGGGAGATTTGGGTGAAATGGGAAAAATCATGGGGAAAGTGGTGACTTGCGGCAGCGATGGCAGAGTTTGGGGGAAAATGGCTGAGATTTGATGGAACTGGTCTGGAATCTGAGGGAAGGGTGTCTGAGGATTGGAGAAATTCGGTGACCCTCATGGACGGTGGGGCCACTGACGGAATCTTCCCCAAAATCAGCAGAAGCACTCCAGCCCGCACGATCATCAAAACGTTTGGCGCAGAAATAAGCTGCGGAATCCTCGTCCTTGAGGTTGTTCATGGTCAGCGTCACCGAGCTCTGCGCGTTGTCCCTGGAGATCCTGAACCGGCCCTTGGCTGAGGCGGCGTACTCGGACCAGCCACCATTGTTGCTCATACTCGCAACGCATTGCAGCGACTGCCCCCTTCTCTGGCAGAACCAAAACATTCCATAATTCCCGAAATCGAACCCGGACCCTAGGCAGAGGAGGATCAGGGACCCCCCGGGGGGCTGGAGGTCCCCCCCGCACTCCAGCAAGGTCATGGCCACCCGGAGCCCTGCAGGACAAAGGGGAGATGGGGATGGGGCGATGCAAAGTCGAGGACGGACTGCCCAACTAATTAATGGGTGGATTGGAGCTAATTGCAGTTTTGAAGGCACATTACAATACTGGAAATCTCTGTTGGAGTTTTGAGGCCAGACCAAGCGAGTTTGGGGCTAAACTGACCAAGGTTTGGGGATGGGGGAGCGGAGAAAGGGTAGATGAGGAAGAGAGAATGAATCCACCCAAGTGTTGATTCCTGAATGCAGATCCTGATTTTGGTCCCAATTTGTGGCACTTTCTCCTCCTCCCGATCCTTCTGGCCCTCCCAGGTGGGTCCAGGTCCCTTTTCGGATCTGGTCAACCCCAGCCCAGCCTACGCCTGGGTCCAGGGCCTCATCCCCATCTCCCCTTTGTCCCGCAGGGCTCCGGGTGGCCGTGACCCTGCTGGAGTGCGGGGGGAACCTCCAGCCCCCCGGGGGGTCCCTGCGCCTCCTCTGCCGCGGGTCCGGGTTCAATTTCGGCAGATTTGGGATGGGCTGGGTTCGACAGAGACCCGGGCAGGGGTTGGAATTCGTCGCAGGCATTGACAGAGATGGATACACCCGATACCTGTCTGCGTTCAAGGGCCGGTTCACGATCTCCAGGGACAACGGGCAGAGCTCGGTGACGCTGACCATGAAAAACCTCAAGGACGAGGATTCCGGATCCTATTTCTGCGCCAAATGTGCTTCTGCTGGTTGGGGTGCTGCTGCTGCTGGTGCTGCTGTTGGACCCCATCCCCATCCCTGTGTCCCCCCCATCCCCATTCCCCCGATCCTTCCCTCCAGCCCTTGACCCCATTGTTGACCCCTATGGACTCCAATCTGGCCCATTTTCCCCAAATCTCAACCATTTGCACCCAGGTTTGGGAGACCTTCGTTGAGACTCGTAGCCAAGAGTTGAGGTACATGACCAGGAGCTGGGATTTGGGGCAGAGCCAGTTCAAAGCTGGGACACGGGGACAGGAATGGGGTCAGGGGCTGGGGACTGGGGGAAGGGGCTGGGGAACGGGGACATTGGGGGACACGGCCATGGCGAGGCATCAATGTCATAGGTGAGCTCAGGGTGACAGTGGCCCTGATTTGGGGCCAGGAGCTGAGATTTGTAGCAGAACCAGTTCAGAGGTGGGACAGGGGACAGGAATGGGGTCAGGGCTTGGGGATTGGAGGGAGGATCTGGGGAACGGGGACAGGGTTGGGGACATGGGGAGAGGGACAGGGCCAAAAAAATCAACAGCTCGAGCACCACCCCAACCTCCACTAGTTAAACGAGATTTCACGCAGAAATAGGATCTGGAATCCTCGTCCTTGAGGTTGTTCATGGTCAGCGTCACCAAGCTCTGCCCGTTGTCCCTGGAGATCCTGAACTGGCCCTTGACTGAATCCGCGTACCCAGTCCAACCAGCATTGTCCCAGATCGCCGCGATGAATTCCAGCCGCCGCCCGGGTCTCTGGCGGATCCAGCCCATTGCAAATTTCCCAAAATCGAACCCGGACCCTCGGCAGAGGAGGCGCAGGGACCCTCCGGGGGGCTGGAGGTCCCCCCCGCACTCCAGCAGGGTCATGGCCGCCCAGAGACCTGCGGGACAAAGGGGAGATGGGGATGGGAAACCTGATTGGCTGTGGCTCAATGTTCGCATGTTGAGATCCAGATGTGGGTGGGATCCACCTGGGAGGTCCAGCAGGAGAAGAAGGAGGAGAATGATGAACTCCAAGGGTCCCAATTTGGGGCCAAGGGTCAGGATTTGGGTCAAGGGTTGAGCTTTGGCCTCATCCCTATCTCCCCTTTGTCCCCCAGGGCTCCGGGCGGCCGTGACCCTGCTGGAGTGCGGGGGGGACCTCCAGCTCCCCGGGGGGTCTCTGTGCCTCCTCTGCCGACGGTCCGGATTCAGTTTCGGCAGTTTCAGAATTCAGTTCTGGGTTCGTCAGAGACCCGGGCAGGGACTGGAATACGTCGCAGCGATCAAGAACGATGGATCCAGCTACGCCTATGCATCATCAGTGCAGGGCCGGTTCAGGATCTCCAGGGACAACGGGCAGAGCTCGGTGACGCTGACAATGAGCAACCTCAAGGATGAGGATTCCGGTTCCTATTTCTGCGGGAAAGCTGCCTATGATACTTGGGGTGCTGCTGCTGATGGTTTTTACCCCATCCCCATGGCTGTGTCCCCACCTCTCCCGGTTCCCCAGACCCTTCTCCCAAACTCTGCCCCTCACCCCATTTCTGACCCCATCTCCCAACCCTGCCCTGGCTCTGCCCCAAATTCTCCACTCTCGACCACACAGTTGACCAAAATCTTAACCCATGACCAGAAGTATCCACTTTCAGAATCAAGTTTTGGGGCACAAAGAGGAGATTTGGGGTCAGGAGTTGTTGTTTAGGGTCAACGGGTGAGAATTGGGGCCGAGGCAGAGCAAGGTTAGGATCAATGGTCAAGGGCTGGGTGTGGGCTGGGGGTTTGGGTGAAGGGTCTGGGCAACGGGGACAGGGGGGGACACAAGGTGATGGGGACAGCACGAGCACCGTCAATATAATCAGCAGGAGCAGCACCACCACCACCAGGAGGTTTGACACAGAACTAAACAGCGGAATCCTCGTCCTTGAGGTTGTTCATGGTCAGCGTCACTGAGCTCTGTGCGTTGTCCCTGGAGATCGCCACCCAGCCCTTGACCGATGGCGTGTAGGCGGTGTAACCTACACTGCCACTGATCCTTGCGACAAATTCCAGCCCCTGCCCGGGTCTCTGGCGGATCCAGCCCATCCCAAAACTCCCGAAATCGAACCCGGACCCGCGGCACAGAAACGTCAGGGACCCCCCGGGGGGCTGGAGGTCCCCCCCGCACTCCAGCAGGGTCACGGCCGCCCGGAGCCCATCTCCAAATCTTCAACAATTTCACTCATAACTCCCCTGGTTTGGTCCCAAATCACCACCAGATTTTTTGGGTATCCTGAGGTTCCTCAAAAGCTGGAATTAAACTCAATAATCTCATTAATTAATTGGACACCTTCTCCTCAGTGTTCCACATTGATTTCAAACGCAATAGCAGGTTAACAAGCGCCAAACCCCCCTGGGACCCCAACTCTGGCACATCTCGGCCTTGGCCTTGAGCTCCCTCCGGCTCCAGTCCCTGCTGCTCCTGCTGCCCCTCCCAGGTGGGCCCCGCCCTATTTTTTTGCAACACACGCACCTTTCCCCTTCTAGACCAATCATATTTTTCATTTTTAATCATCTCCCCTTTGTCCCGCAGGGCTCCGGGCGGCCGTGACCCTGCTGGAGTGCGGGGGGAACCTCCAGCCCCCCGGGGGGTCCATGCGATTCCTCTGCCGAGGGTCCGGGTTCAGTTTCGGGAGTTACCCCATGTACTGGGTCCGCCAGAGACTCGGGCAGGGGCTGGAATGGCTCGCGAGCATCTACAGCAATGGTGGCACCACCTGCTATGCGCCATCGGTGCAGGGTTTGTTCACGATCTCCAGGGACAACGGGCAGAGCTCGGTGACGCTGACCATGAAAAACCTCAAGGACGAGGATTCCGGATTCTATCTCTGTGCCAAGGGTGCTGATGCTTATAGCTGGAATGCTGCTGCTTATGGTGAAGACTCCAGTGGTGGATCCACGCCCCCATCTCAGTGTCCCCAGCTGTCCCCAAACCCCCAACAATTCCCCCAATCCTCAGCCCTGGGCCCATCCCTGCCAGGGGGTCTCTGTCCCAATCCCCACCGGGACGGGGCTGTGGAGACCCCTCTGGAGCCGTTTGGATTCCCACCATCGCTCTCCTCACCGGGCTGTGGCCATGGGGAGGTGCCGGCGGCTCACGGCCCCGGCAGCACACACAGAACTCAATGGCGCAGCTCACCACAAGAGGTTTCTGGCCAATCACATAAAGCAAAGGCAGATTGACACGGTGGGGCCGGATCTGGGACATCGTCGTCAGTTTTGGGGAATTTGGTTGGGACATGGAGCCCAGAGCTGAGGTTTGGGGCCAGGAGCTGAGATTTGGGAAAGAGCCAGTTCAGAGTTGGGACAAGGGACATCAATGGGGTCAGGGCTGGGGATTGGGGAAGGGTCTGGGGAACAGAGACAGGGGGGAAACAGCGATGGGGATGGGGACAAAACGACAGGCAACATTCTCCCAACCAGCATGATCATCAACACACTTGGCAAAGAAATAGGATCCGGAATCCGTGTCCTTGAGGTTGTTCATGGTCAGCGTCACCAAGCTCTGCCCGTTGTCCTTGGAGATCGTCAACCGGCCCTTGACCGACGGCGCGTATGCGGTCCAACCACCATTGTAGCTGATACTCGCGAGCCACTCCAGCGCCTGCCCGGGTCCCTGGCGCACCCAGAACACGTCATAGCTTCCGAAACTGAACCCGGACCCTCGGCAGACGAGGATCAGGGACCCCCCGGGGGCTGGAGGTCCCCCCCGCACTCCAGCAGGGTCACGGCCGCCCAGAGCCCTGCGGGACAAAGGGGAGATGGGGATGAGGCCAAAGCTCAACCCTTGGCCCAAATCCTGACTCTTGGCCTCAAACGGGGACTCGTGGAGTTCATCATACACCTCCCAGCGGGTCCCATCACATTTTCCAGCAGACCACATGCACTATGAGACATTCAAGCGATCAGGTTTTTCATTTCCATCACCTCCCCTTTGTCCCGCAGGGCTCTGGGCGGCCGTGACCCTGCTGGAGTGCGGGGGGCACCTCCAGCCCCCCGGGGGTTCCCTGCGCCTCCTCTGCCCAGGGTCCAGGTTCGATTTTGGGAGTTTCTCCATGTTCTGGATCCGCCAGAGACCCGGGCAGGGGCTGGAATGGCTGGCCGGGATCAGCAGTGATGGTGCCAACACCTTCTATGCGCCATCGGTCAAGGGCCGGTTCAGGATCTCCAGGGACAACGGGCAGAGCTCGGTGACGCTGACCATGAACAATCTCAAGGACGAGGATTCCGGATCCTATTTCTGTGCCAAATGTTACAGCAGTGGCTGTGGTAATGGTGCTTATGCTTATGGTGTTGATGGTGGTTGTGGTCCCAAGCCCTTTTTTCTGTGTTCCCACAAATCACAGCATTCTCTGATCCTTCCCTTAAATCCTGGCTCTTTTTCTCACATCTCAGATATTTTCCCCCAAACTCCACCATCACTTCCCCAATTCCCAATTTTTCCCAATTCTCCCCAATCTCCCCCAGTTCCCCTCCATCCCAGTGTGGAACGGGGATCGCTCCAGGGCCCTTTGCACACAGAGCTTTTTGTGCAGCCGGCGCTCTGCCGCAGCGCCCCGAGGCTGAGCTGCCTTCTGCCAAACACAGATGTTCACAATGACCAAAACCAGGAAATTTCTGTTTCCTTTCCTGCCCCGGCCGGGCCCCGGCAGCTGCTGGGGAGGAAGTGGGGGGAGGCTGTGGAGCCCCAAAATCGCGGCGTCTTCTCCTCCTTCCCTCCCTCCCTCGCTCCCACCTGGGGCTTCACTTCTCCCTCAGCGGCCGCGGTGTCTGGGGCTGCTCCTTGGGGCTGGGCTAGAATCCTCTCTCTGGAGAAAACCCCCTTTTTTTTACCCAAAAAACACATGAAATTTTGGGGAAATTAAATTTTTCAAGTTGATCTCGAGTCGAGGGTCCCATGCTGAGAGAAGCAGTGGGGTGCAAGGGTGGAGTCACCTGGAACGTTCCATCGGTGAAGGGCAGGGTCAGAATGGCCAAGGAGAGCTCAGGAGCCAAAATGGCCCCAAGTGGGCCCCGAGCTGAGGTGTGGGGCCAGGAGCTGAGAATGTGGGGCAGAGTCAGGGCAGGGTTGGGGCACGGGGACAGGAATGGGGTCAGGGGCTGGGGACTGGGGAAAGGGGATGGGGCAGTTGGGGACAAGTGGGGACACAAATATGCGTGTGGGGCCAATACCATAGGCATCATTATCAGCAGCACCAGCACCCTTGGCACAGAAATAGGATCCGGAATCCTCATCCTTGAGGTTGTTCATGGTCAGCGTCACCGAGCTCTGCCCGTTGTCCCTGGAGATCATGAACCGGCCCTTGACCGATTGTCCGTAGTCGGTGTAAGCACCATTCCTGCTGATTCCTGCAAGCCATTCCAGCCCCTGCCCGGGTCTCTGTTGACACCAGCCCACTCCAAAACTGCCAAAACTGAACCAGGACCCTCGGCAGAGGAGGTGCAGGGACCCCCTGGGGGGCTGGAGGTCCCCCCCGCACTCCAGCAGGGTCACGGCCGCCTGGAGCCCTGCGGGAAAAAGGGGAGATGGGGATGAGGCCAAAGCTCAACCCTTGACGTCAATATCCCCACTATTGGCCCCAAACTGGGACCCTTGGAGTTCATCATCATCCTCCTCCCAGGTGGGTCCCAATCCTTTATCAGGCTTGACCCTCCCAGTTTTTTTCCCTGGACCAATCAGGTTTCCCATCCCCATCTCCCCTTTGTCCCGCAGGGCTCTGGGCGTCCGTGACCCTGCTGGAGTGCGGGGGGGACCTCCAGCCCCCCGGGTGGTCCCTGCGCCTCCTCTGCCGAGGGTCCAGGTTCAGTTTTGGCGATTATGGAATGTTCTGGCTGCGTCAGAGACCTGGGCAGGGGCTTGAATGGCTTGCGGGGATCTGGAGCAGTGGTTCCAACCCCGGCTACGTGCCGTCGGTCGAGGGTCGGTTCACAATCTCCAGGGACACCGGGCAGAGCTCGGTGACGCTGACCATGAACAACCTCAAGGACGAGGATTTCACCACCTATTTCTGCGCCAAATATTCTGTCAGTAGTTGTGATTAGGATGCTGCTTCTTTTGGTGACCATGGTTTTGGTGGCTGTGGTCCCAAGCCCTCTCCTCTCTGTGCCCAAGTATCACAGAATTCTCTGATCCCTCCCCAAATCCCAGCCCTTTCCCCCAAATCTCTGTCATTTTCCCCCAAATTCTGCCATTGCTGCCCCAACTCTGCACTTTCCCCCAGTTTTTATCATTTTTCCCCAATCTCAGCCTTCTCCTCCTGACCCTTGGACAGTTTACCCAGAAACATGCCCCAGTCCAACACCAAGCACTGAGCCAAAGCCCCCAAACTGGTTCTGTCCTAAACCCCCAAACTGGTTCTGCCACAAAACCTCTTGCTTTGGCCCCAAAAATCACCCAATTCTGCCCCAAATCCCAACTTTGGGCTCCCAGCCGCAGCTGCTGACCCAAACCTCACCCACTGTCCCCAAATCTCAGCCCTTTGGGCACTACTGGGGGTCAAGGATTAGATTTGGGGCCAAGAGTAGAGTTTGGGGCCAGACCAAGGGGAGGGTTTGGGGCAAATGGGCAGTATTGGGGCAAAGGGGGCGGGGCTGGGACAAAGGGTCAGGGGTGGGACAGGGGGGTTTGGGGAAGGGTCTGGGGACAGCTGGGGACAGGGACGGGGCTGAAACCCCAAACACCAACCCAACCACCAGGAGTGAAACCAATGGCATGGGCGGCATTCCAGCCACCATAGGAATCCTTGGCACAGAAATAGATGGTGGAATCCTCGTCCTTGAGGTTGTTCATGGTCAGCGTCAGCGAGCTCTGCCCGCTGTCCCTGGAGATCCTGAACCGGCCCTTGACTGAACCCGCGTACCTGGTGCTGCCATCATAACTGGTGATGCTGGCGATGTATTCCAGTCCCTGCCCGGGTCTCTGTCGAACCCAGCCCATCGCAAATTTCCCAAAATCGGACCCAGATGCTTGGCAGAGGAGGCGCAGGGACCCCCCGGGGGGCTGGAGGTCCCCCCCGCACTCCAGCAGGGTCACGGCCGCCCGGAGCCCTGCGGGACAAAGGGGAGATGGGCATGAGGATCCTGATTGGTCAAGGGCCTTAAAGCAGGTGTGGCCAGCTGGAAAAAGGGGCGGGACCCACCTGGGAGGAGGAGGATGAACTTCAAGTGTCCCAATTTGGGGCCAAAAATCAGGATTTGGGTCAAGGGTTGAGCTTTGGCCTCATGCCTATCTCCCCTTTGTCCCACAGGGCTCCGGGCAGCCGTGACCCTGCTGGAGTGCGGGGGGTGCCTCCAGCCCCCCGTGGGGTCCCTGACGTTGCTGTGCCGCGCATCTGGGTTTGATTTCGGGAATTTTGGAATGATCTGGATCCGCCAGAAACCCGGGCAGGGGCTGGAATTTGTGGCAGACATTGACAGTGATGGATACACCAGATACCCGCCTGCGGTCAAGGGCCGGTTCACACAACTGTGGCCCCAAACCCCGACTGGTTCTGCATCAAAGCCAACTGAGCTGGTGCCAAAATTTGCCCAATTTCAGCCCAAATCTCGGTCCTTGGGGCACTTTCGGGGTACGAAGGGGAGATTTGGGGCCAAGAGTTGCATTTGGGGCCAGACCCAGGGCAGGGTTTGGGGCCAATGGGCAGCGTTGGGGCAAAGGGGGCTGGAGGTCATCACTGGGAGAACAGTGATGAACTCCAAGGGTCCCAGTTTGGGGCCAAGAGTCAGGATTTGGGTCAAGGGTTGAGCTTTGGCCTCATCCCCATCTCCCCTTTGTCCCACAGGGCTCCGGGTGGCTGTGACCCTGCTGGAGTGCGGGGGGGACCTCCAGCCCCCCGGGGGCTCCCTGCGCCTCCTCTGCCGAGGGGCCGGGTTCAGTTTCAGCAGTTATGGGATGAACTGGGTGCGCCAGAGACCCGGGCAGGGGCTGGAATGGGTCGCGGGGATCACCAACAATGCTGGTTGGACCGGATACGTGCCATCGGTCAAGGGCCGGTTCAGGATCTCCAGGGACAACGGGCAGAGCTCGGTGACGCTGACCATGAACAACCTCAAGGACGAGGATTCCGCCACCTATTTCTGTGCCAAATCTTACAGCACTGGTAGCGCTGCTGCTTATACTGACCATGCCAGTGGTGGCATCACCATTTCTGAGCCCCTCCTGTTCCCAAATCTCTGACCCTTCCCCGAAATCTCAGTCCTTGACCCCGTTCTTGACCCTTCGTCCCAGATCTGCCCCATTTCCAACACCACCAACCACAGAGCCAAAACCCCCAATCAGATTCTGCCCCAAATCCCCACTTTGTGCTCCCGGCCACAGCCGCTGACACGAATCCTGAACCTTTGCCCCCAAATCGGAACCTGGGCCTCAAACCCCTGCCCTCAGAGCAAAGTGGTGGGGCACAAAGTGGAGATTTGGGGTCAGGAGTTGTGGTTTGGGGTCAGCGGGTGAGAATTGGGGCCGAGGCAGAGCAAGGTTGGGATCAATGATCAAGGGCTGGGTGTGGGCTGGGGGCTTGGGGGAAGGGTCTGGGGAATGGGGACGGGGGGGACACGGGGATGGGGATGGCACCGAGATCAATACGATCAATACCAGTACCACTGTTATAGGATTTGGCACAGAAATAGGATCCAGAATTCTCGTCCCTGAGGTTGTTCATGGTCAGCGTCACCGAGCTCTGCCCGTTGTCCCTGGAGATCCTGAACCAGCCCTTGACTGAATCCGCGTACCAGGTGCTGCCACCATCATTGCTGATTGCTGCGATGTATTCCAGCGTTTGCCCAGGTTTCTGACGGATCCACATCATCCCAAAACTGCCGAAACTGAACCCGGACCCTCGGCAGAGGAGGCGAAGGGAACCCCCGGGGGGCTGGAGGTCCCCACGGCGCTCCAGCAGGGCCACGGCCGCCCGGAGCCCTGCGGGAAAAAGGGGAGATGGGGATGAGGTGATGCAAACATCAGGCAGAGCTGTCCAAATGATTAATGGGAGGATCAGGCCTAATTGCAGGGTTGAAGGCACTTTACAATACTGGAAATCTCTGTTGGAGATTTAGGGCCAGACAGAGGGAGTTTGGGGCAAAACTGATCAAGGTTTGGGGATGAGGGAGCGGCCGTGACCCTGCTGGAGTGCAGGGGGGGCCTCCAGCCCCCCGGGGCGTCCCTGCGCCTCCTCTGCCGAGGGTCCGGGTCCAGTTTTGAGGATTATGGAATGTACTGGATCCGCCAGAGACCCGGGCAGGGGCTGGAATTTGTTGCAAGTATCTACAACAATGGTGGCAGCACCGATTACGCGCCATCAGTCAAGGGTCAGTTCACCATGTCCAAGGACAACGGGCAGAGCTCGGTGACGCTGACCATGAACAACCTCAAGGACGAGGATTCCGGATCCTATTTCTGTGCAAAAGATGCTTATGGTCGTGGTTCTAGTAGTGCTGGTTATATTGACGATGGTTATGATGGCCCCACCCTGCCTTTGATCTCACAGACATCCCAAAATTCCCACATTCTACCCTCAAATCTTTACTCTTAAAACTGAATCTTGACCCTTTTCCCTCAATCTCTACCATCACTGCCTTACGTGTCCCACTTCTCTGCGCCTTTCAGCCTTTCACCCAAATCTCAAATGTTCATGCCCAAAACTCTGCCCTTTGTGCCCCAGATCTCAGTGGGGATCACTTCTGACCGTTGGCCCAAAACTCAGCTGGTTCTGCCGCAAACCTCAGCTCTTGGCACCAAGTCTCAGCCAAGGTCCCCAAACCTGGGTGCAAATGGTTGAGATTTGGGGAAAATGGGCCAGATTTGTGTCCGTGGGGGTCACCAATGGGATCAAGGGTTGAGGGAAGGACCTGGGGAATGGGGACAGGTGGGGACCCAGGGATGGGGACGGGTCAATAGATTCGAGGGCACCAGCAGCAATGTTAGTGCTGGACTCCTTGGCGCAGAAATAGGATCCGGAATCCTCGTCCTTGAGGTTGTTCACGGTCAGGGTCATGGAGCTCTGCCCGTTGTCCCTGGAGATCGCAACTCGGCCCCGCAGTGACGGCGCGTAGTCGGTGCCACCGTGGCTGTCGATGGCGGCCACCCACTGCAGCCCCTGCCCGGGGCTCTGGCGGATCCAGTGCAGATCAGAACGGCCGAAAGGGAACCCGGACCCTCGGCAGAGGAGGCGCAGGGAACCCCCGGGGGGCTGGAGGTCCCCTCCGCACTCCAGCAGGGTCACGGCCGCCTGGAGCCCTGTGGGACAAAGGGGAGATGGGGATGAGGCCAAAGCTCAACCCTACACCCAAATCCTGACTCTTGGCCCCAAATTGGGACCCTTGGAGTTCATCATCCTCCTCCCAGGTGGGTCCCGCCACTTTTTGAAGCATGCCAGGCCAACTAGGACTCTCTTCACCAATCAGGTTTCTCATCCCCATCTCCCCTTTGTCCCACAGGGCTCCGGGCGGCCGTGACCCTGCTGGAGTTTGGGGGGGACCTCCAGTCCCCCGGGGGGTCCCTGCGCCTCCTCTGCCGAGCGTCCGGGTTCAATTTTGGGGGTTTTGAAATGGAATGGGCTCGACAGCGTCCCGGGCAGGGGCTGGAGTGGGTCGTGGGGATCAGGTACGATGGTGCTGACACCTACTACGCGCCCTCAGTCAAGGGCCGGTTCAGGATCTCCAGGGACAACGGGCAGAGCTCGGTGGCGCTGACCATGAACAACCTCAAGGACGAGGATTCCGCCACTTATTTCTGTGCCAAACGTGCTTATGGTGATAATTTGGCTTATGCTGATTCTTATCATTTTGTCCCCGTCCCCGTGCCCTTGCTCCCCTCCTGTCCCTATTCCCCAGGCCCTTCCCTCTATCCCCAAGCCCTGACCCCTTTCCTGTCCCTTTGTCCCAACCCTGATAAGACCCAGATATCAGATTTAGGCTGATCCCCAAGCCATGCTGGCCGATCTGGATAACTCTGGGCGACAGAGTGCCCGAACAGCCAATCAGCTCAGAGATGCCACCATCTCAGCAAGCTCAGTGACTTCAGCTCTTTAGTGATTCTCAGCTCTCAGGATTCCAGCTCTTTTATTGATTATCAGCTCTCTCAGGATTCCAGATCTTTTATGGATTATCAGCTCTCAGGATTTCAGCTCGTTAGGGATTCTCAGCTCTCAGGATCTCAGCTCTTTGCTCACTCACTGGGGCGCCTTTGGCTGGGGCAGAAACAGATGGACAGAGAGGACAAGGAGAGGTCCTGGCGGTTCCACAGCCATGGTTCATTGAGGGATCTGTGAGGGGTTCCAGCAACAGCTCTTCTCCTGTCAGATGGGCTAAACCAGCCCCTTTTATAGGGTACAAGGGGATCCAAATGTGTCCAACAGTGAGGGTCAGGGAGAAGGCACAAATGGGGTTACAGAGAGAAGATGTGGGGCGGTTGGCAAAAGACAGGAGATTATTTTGCTGTTCCATCATGACTGAGCAGTTCCTGCTATTACGTCTCAATCCTCCCTGGAGCTCGCGCAATCTCTGTGCACTCTGCTAAAGGACATGGGGTCAACACGATAGGCAACAGTCTCCCAGCCAGTACCATCATCAACAGATTTGGCAAAAAAATCACATCCTGAATCCTCGTCCTTGAGGTTGTTCATGGTCAGCGTCACCGAGCTCTGCCCGTTGTCCCTGGAGATCGTGACCCCGCCCTTGACAGACGACGTGTAGGCGGTGGTGCCACCACTGGTGATCCCCGCAAGCCACTCCAGTGCCTGTCGGGGTCTCTGGCGGATCCAGTACATGGTGGAACTGCCAAAACTGAACCCAGACCCTCAGCAGAGGAGGCGCAGGGACCCACTGGGGGTGTGGAGTTTCCCCCCGCACTCCAGCAGGGTCACGGCCGCTCCCCCATCCCCAAACCTTCAGTGGTTTTGCCACCAATTCCCTTTGTTTGTCCCCAGACATCCAACAGAGGTATCCTGAATAGTAAAGTGCCTTCACCCCTGCAATTAGCCCCAGTCCATCCATTAATTATTCAGACAGCTCTTCTGACTTTTGCATCTACTCAGCCCCATCTCCCCTTTGTCCCGCAGGGCTCCGGGTGGCCGTGACCCTGCTAGAGTGTGGGGGGGACCTCCAGCCCCCCAGGGGGTCCCTGCGCCTCCTCTGCCGAGGGTCCGGGTTCAGTTTCGGGGCTCACTCCATCACCTGGACCCGCCAGAGCCCCGGGCAGGTGCTGGAAATGCTGGCGCTGATCGACGCTAACGGTGCCCATGCCTGGTACACGCCGTCGGTGCAGGGCCGGTTCAGGATCTCCAGGGACAACGGGCAGAGCTCGGTGACGCTGACCATGAACAACCTCAAGGACGAGGATTCCGAATCCTATTTCTGTGCCAGGGGTGCTGATTATGACGCCGATGATATTGACGCCTGTGGGATTGGCACCACCACCATGGCTGTGTCCCCAAATGTCCCCATTCCCCAGACCCTCCCCCAAATCCCAGCGCTCATCTCCGCTCTCGGTGTCTGAATTTGTGTCCCCAGCCCCGGGCCCAGCGCTGACCTTTGGGGCAGAGTTAGGGGGAAGATCAACGGCCAAGGGTTGGGGGTTGGGGCCGGAGAGAGGAAAGGGAAATGGAGAAATGGTCACGGGCCGGGTCAGGGGCTGGGAGCTGGGGAAGGGTCTGGCGAACGGGGACAGGTGGGGGTGCTGTGTTTGGTGTGGGGCAATCACTGGGAAGGTCCCCATGTGCAACAGCAACAGGACCACCAGTATTGACAGATTTCCCACAGAAATAGATGGCGGAATCTTCGACTTTGAGGTTGTTCATGGTCAGCATCACCGAGCTCTGCCGTTGTCCCTGGAGATCCTGAGCCGGCCCTTGACTGATGGTGCGTACCAGGTGCTGTCACCATTACTGATATCTGCAATGTCCTCCAGCCCCTGCCCGGGTCTCTGGCGATACCAGCCCATCCCAAAACTGCAAAAATCAAACCCGGACCCTCGGCAGAGGAGGCGCAGGGACCCCCTGGGGGGCTGGAGGTCCCCCCCGCACTCCAGCAGGGTCACGGCCGCCCGGAGCCCTGCGGGAGAAAGGGAAGATGATGGAAATGAGAAACCTGATTGGTTGAGGACCTCAAAGTGGGCCTGGCCATCGGGAAAAAAGGGACAGGACCCACCTGGGAGGAGGATGATGAACTCCATGGGTCCCAGTTTGTGGCCCAGAGTCAGGACATGGCTCAAGGGTTGAGGTTTGGCCTCATCCCCTTCTCCCTATTTTCCCGCAGGGCTCCGAGTGGCCGTGACCCTGCTAGAGTGCGGGGGGAGCTCCAGCCCCCCGGGGGGTCCCTGCGCCACCTCTGCCGAGGCTCCGGGTTCAATTTCGGGGGTGTTGCCATGAGCTGGGTCCGACAGAGACCCAGGCAGGGGCTGGAGGTCATCGCCTACATCCGCAGTGGTGGCAGCACCTGGTACGCGCCATTGGTCAAGTGCCAGTTCATGATCACCAGGGACAACGGGCAGAGTCTGATGACGCTGATCATGACCAACCTCAAGGTCGAGGATTCCACCGCTTATTTCTGTGCCAAGGATGGGGATGATAGTTCTTCTGCTGCTGCTGGTGACGATATTGACTGTGGTGATGTTGGCCATGGTGGTTTTTCCTGAGTCCCGGTCTTTGAGTTCCCCCCCTGTCCCCAGTCCTGAGATCCTCCACCCAAACCTCAGCCCTTGACCCTTTGTCCCAAATCTCCCCCATTTGCCCCAATGGTCAGCACTGACTCCAAACCCTCTCCTGCTCCTGCCCCAAAACTCAACCATTGGCCCCAAATATTAAACCCTGGGATCCAGTTCAGGCCTTCTTCAATCAGGGCCCGGGGAGCTAAGGGAGATTTGGGTTAAATGGGGAAAACTGGGAGACATTCGGAAGTTGGGGCAACAGGGGCTGACTTTGAGGAAAAATGGCTGAGATTTGATGAAAAGGGCTGATGGTGAGGAGATCAGAGGACTATGGGATATTTGGGAACAAAGTGGAGGGATTTGGGGCCAAGACCAGAATCAGCAATAAATGCAAGACCAACAGTACCATGACTATTGGCACAGCCACCATCAAAACATTTGGCACAGAAATAGGATCCGGAATCCTCGTCCTTGAGGTTGTTCATGGTCAGCGTCACCGAGCTCTGCCCGTTGTCCCTGGAGATCCTGAACCGACCCTTGAATGATGGTGCGTAAGCGATGCTGCCACCGTTGTCCTTGATCCCTGCAACGAATTCCAGCCCCTGCCTGGATTTCTGCCACACCCAGAACATGGAGAAACTCCCAAAACTGAACCCGGCCCCTCGGCAGAGGAGGCGCAGGGACCCCCCGGGGGGCTGGAGGTCCCCCCCGCACTCCAGCAGGGTCACGGCCACCCGGAGTCTTGCGGGACAAAGGGAAGATGGGGATGAGGGAACGAATCCACCCAAATGTTGATTCCTGCATGCAGATCCTGATGTTGGCCCCAAATTGGGACCCTTGGACTGCCCCATCCTCCTCCTGCAACTCCTGCCAGTCATCCCAGGTGGATCCCACACCCTTCTTCTGGAATGGCGATGCCCACTTTGGGTCCATAACCAATCCAGCTTCTCATCCCCATCTCTCCTTTGTCCCGCACGGCTCCGGGCAGCTGTGACCCTGCTGGAGTGCGGGGGATAACTCCAGCCCCCGGGAGGGTCCCTGCGCCTCCTCTGCCGAGGGGCCGGGTTCAGTTTTGGCAGTTTTGGAATGAGCTGGGTCCGCCAGAGACCCGGGCAGGGGCTGGAATTCGTTGCAGGGATCAGCAAAAGTGCTGCCAATATTGGCTACGCGCCGTCGATCAAGGGCCAGTTCACAATCTCCAGGGACAACGGGCAGAGCTCGGTGACGCTGACCATGAACAACCTCAAGGACAAGGATTCCGGATCCTATTTCTGTGCCAAAGCAGCTGTTGCTGGTGGTGCTGGTTATGGAGCTGGTGCTATAGATGTGCCGTGCATGGCCAGATCCCTATCCAGCACTGCAGGAGCATTCGGGAGCAGGACAGTCGGGACAGACGGATGGACACTAGAGATCTCTGCAGCCAGGTTGTGGAATTTGGGGTTTATTGCAAAGGATGAACTGCAGGGCCCTGCTGGGAGCTGCCAGGCACAGCTGGAACAGGGCTGAGAGAAGAGAGGGGAGAGAGGATGAGAGGGTGAGAGAGTAAGAGAGTAAAAAAGGTAAATGAGTAAAAGGGTGAGAGAATGGAAAGGGTAAGAGAGTGAAAAAGTCAGTGAATAAAAGGGTAAGAGTGTAAAAGGGTAAGAACATAAAACTGTAAGAGAATAAAAGGGTAAGAGAGTGAGGTTCCCACCACAATACAATAAATCTTCTTCTCTGTAGAATATTCTAATTCTCACTAACCAATCTGGTCCAATATACAAACCCTACAGCATTTACACACAGCCTACAAGAATCATTTCATTACTGTACTCTATTATATTTTAAACCCTAAAAACTCCTCTTTGGGCCCCTTCTGCCAAGCCTAAGACCGGCTCTTTGGAAACCCTAAAAACTCCTTTTTGGAGTAACTTTAAACCCTAAAAACTCCTCTTTGGACTAATTTAACCACTAAAAACTCCTTTTTGGACTAACTTTAAACCCTAAAATATCCTCTTTGGCCCCTTCTGCCAGGCTGTGGGGTCTACTCTGACCCTTGGTGCTGTCTGCAGGCAGAGGGTGTTGTTCCATCAAAATGGGATCACCTTCAGCCTGCCACGCCGTTGTTTTCCAGTTGTTCAGTCACTGAGGGATCTCAAAGCTTGCTTTCATTTCAATCTCGCTGATGGTTTCCGTATTCTGAAAATCTTTTGCCAGGCAATCATATTGATAAGGCTTTGCAGTTACAACTTCCCCAACCAGCATCAGCATAAGCACGGTGACCATCGTTGTCCTTGGCACAGAAATAAGATCTAGAATCGTCGTCCTTGAGGTTGTTCATGGTCAGCGTCACCGAGCTCTGCCCGTTTTCCCTGGAGATTCTGAACCGGCCCTTGACTAAATCTGCGTACCTGGTGCACCCACCACTGCTGGTGATGGTTCCGTCCCACATCAGCCCCTGCCCGGGTCTCTGGCGGATCCAGGCCATCCCAAAATTGCCGAAATCAAACCCAGACCTGTGGCACAGCAACGTCTGGGACCCCCCGGGGGGCTGGAGGTGCCCCCCACACTCCAGCAGGGTCACGGCTGCCCGGAGCCCTGTGGGACAAATGGGGAGATGGGGATGGGGCCAAAGTTCAACCCTTGACCCAAATCCTGACTCTGGGCCCCAAACTGGGACCTTTGGAGTTCATCATCCTCCTCCCACGTGGGTTCCGCCCCTTTTTCAAGCATGCCAGACCAAGTTTGGCACTCTTTAACAATCAGGTTTCTCATCCCCATCTCCCCTTTGTCCCGCAGGGCTCCAGGCAGCCGTGACCCTGCTGGAGTGTGGGGGGAACCTCCAGCCCCCCGGGGAGTCCCTGACGTTGCTGTGCCGAGGGTCCGGGTTCGATTTAGGGGATTATGGAATGTACTGGATCCGCCAGAGACCCGGGCAGGGTTTGCAAAACGTCGCAGGGATCAACAACTCTGGTGGCACCACCTACTACGTGCCATCGGTCAAGGGCCGGTTGAGGATCTCCAGGGACAACGGGCAGAGCTCGGTGACGCTGACCATGAATGTCAAGGACGAGGATTCCGGATCCTATTTCTGTGCCAAGGCTGCTGGTGCCAGTTGGTGTAATGATGTCTCTGCTCTTGGCC